TAAGAATTTGAAAAATAATGTAGAACTCCTGATATAAACATGATGTAAGCTTATTAATACTTTTGTATATGAACAACACGTCACAAAAAGGTTTAGGGGGAAATAAAAATTAAAAAATAAAATCCTCCCACCCGCCCCATTTTTTTCAAAAATCTGGATGAAAATCTACCAATTAATTTTAGTTGGCCTTAATTAACTGAATTAAAAACTTAATGTAAATATAAGCATATCACCGCTCAATGGAGAAACATACAAGTGACATAACAGTACACTGACAGGTGTATACTTACGAGGTGACTTAAGATATGGATAGAAAGTAGCCTCTCTTCATTAATAAAAACGAGTAAAACATTCTGGAATTAGAATTCTAATGTATAGATTACGTACATGAGAAATAGACATTATTTAATATATGTAATAATAGTTGTAAAAACCACACCATTGTATTTTTTCTCAATAACATATTAACCAAACGTATTAGGTGGTGCAATATATTATATGTTATAGGAGAATGTGGGAGGTCCATTTATTCTATTCGAAGAACATCAAATAACTTTTAATCGCTGTTTTTATTTTAAATTATACGAGTACCGATATGATGATGACAATTCCGACAAGAGAAACAGGAGAACAAATAGTACAATAGGGTACAATAAGAGGCTGTTTTGACCAACTGTAGATGAACTAATTTATCACGACTTCGTATTAAGACTGCTGACCAAAAGCACTACCTAATCTTACCTAAAAAACGTTTTAAATCAATACAAATATTTGGTGTGTATTAAGATGCCCCTTTCTAAGTATAGCATAGTATTTTTTACACAAATGTTGAACTTTTTAAAGGACATCTTTTTCAATAAATATTGTCATTTACAGTAAATCGGTTAAATAAAATATTGTTTCGAAATCCATGAAATTTCAGTTGGCCTTTTTAACATTTTTGATTCGAGCGTCGCTGATGAATCTTTTGTAGACGAAAAGCGCGTCTGGCGTACACATTTTTATCCTGGGATTTATGATGAGTTTATTATTTGAAAGCAAAAGTCCGTTCTATCATCTTTCATATTTTATTGTGTTCCATGTTTGGGCTATTGTCTATTTTGATGACAAAACGGTCTGTCGTAGAAAATTCTAAGCCTGGTTTCTTTGATGAATTTTTACAACCACTTGGTCGATTCCCCTGCTGGTACCCGTTTCGTCCCAGAGGGTATCACCAGACCAGTAGTCAGCCCTTTTGAGATTTCATAGATATGTCAATTTCAAAAAACTTAACTGTATATTACATATTAAATTATTGGAAGCACTAAGGTTTAACTACCAACAGGTATAGATGGCCTTAGCCGTATTTGGCACAACTTTTCTGTTTTCGGTTTTTAAAGCTCTGCAACTTATTTTTCGATTTGACCATCCAACTGTTTTAATTCGATCGCCACTGTTGATTGTTATGTGGACGAAACACGCGTCGGGCGTACAAAAGTATAATCCTGGTATCTTATACTATTTTTTACAACCCCTTGATCGATGTAACTGAGGACATAACCAGCCCAGGAGTCAACATATAAGTACATAAACACTACCGGCCCTACATCCTGTCGATACTAATATTTTAGCATTGCACATAGTAATGTTTATCTCATACTGTTTATAACGTCTTTACACTGAATTCATTGGATATAGTAATGTTTTTTTCATACTGTTTATGACGTTTTTACACTGAATTCATTGGATATAATCTGATTTAAATTTCAGTGTAGGGAAAAGTAATTTATTTATTAGTGTAATTTTGCTTGAATATTAAATGCCGAATATCGATGTCATCAGCCTCCGAGAGATTTTACTTTTCTCTATTCTAGACGGTATTTTGATTAAATATAAGACAATTTAAAGTAAAGAATTGAAAGCGAAACGTTATTGTTGAATTGTGTAATATTAAGTTTTTATAGGAGGGGTGGCAATTTTTTCAAAATAGAGTCAGTATTTTGGTTCTGTGTGTTTTTCATATCCCACACTGCAGTATTCATTGTACTAGAATGATTACAAATCGTCTAGTTTGATCTGGCATGAACGAGGGATGTAACCAAATCGACTCTGTTGTCATTGGCGACACAACGCATGAAACTGGTAGAGCAGGCGTATCTCTGTCTTTATGTTTTGGACCAGCTCAATTATTACTGATTTAGGCATATTTATAAAATAGATATTTACAAAAATTTGAATTATTCCAAATACCAAGTTTTCTACCCCAGGAATAATTACCTTAGCTGTAAACCTTTCGGAATTGTGGATCATCAATGCCCTTCAACTTCATTTGACCTTTTATCTTTTTTAATTCAAGTGTCAATGATGAGTCTTTTGTAGACAAACGAAATTATATCTAGAATACATTTGATGAGGATTTTTTTAGAAAGTTTCTGTTGTATTGATTTCTTGAAATGAATTCGCTTCACCGGACAAAACCAACTGAAGTTTTGTTCTTTTTATATGTGTCTATAAGTTTTTACGCATGGTGTTGAACATTCTAATTATGGTTATTTGGAGTAAATGTCCATAAATATATGCTGCTACGTAAACTCTGAACAATATTTCAATTTTTGTATTGTATTAATTTCACTAACAAACCTCATCGGTTTAATTAGGTATAGAAATATGGTAGTTCATAGACTTCTCCTGTCCGCTGGTTAATTACCTCTTCCAAATAAAATTGAGAATGGAAATGGGGAATATGTCAAAGAGACAACAACCCGATCAAAGAGCAGACAACAGCCGAAGGCCACCAATGGATCTTCAATGCAGCGAGAAAATCCCGCACCCGGAGGTGGTTCTCAGCTGGCCCCTAAATAAAATTGTGTGCTAGTTCAGTGAAAATGTACGTCACACTAAACTCCAAAACATATAAAGGAACTAAAATTAAAAAACATACCGACTAATAAAGGCCAGAGGCTCCTGACTTGGGACAGGCGCAAAAATGCGGCGGGGTTATACATGTTTTGTGAGATCTCAACCCTCCCCCTATACCTCTAATCAATGTAGAAAAAAGAAACACATAGCAATACGCACAGTAAAACTCAGTTTAAAAGAAGTCCGAGTCCGAGTAAAAGATGTCAGAATAGGTAACAAAAGAAACTAAGCAAAATGACTATGATACATAAATGAACAAAGGACTACTAGCAGTTACTGACATGCCAGCTCCAAACCTCAATTGAAATGACTGAAAGATTATGTCTTCATCATATGAAAATCAAGTACAATCCCTCCCGTTAGGGGTTTAGTATCATACCATCATAAAATTTATGAGAAGAACATAACCCGTATCATGCCAACAACTGGTTTTAGAATAAATGTGTTTATTTCCGATGCAAAGACCCTATGAGTGAATCAATATTAATACCAAAATATGCAATCCTTAATGACTTGACAACAGTATCGCAACTATATCCTTTCCGAATAAGTCTGTTTAAAGGTTTGGTTAGCTTTTGAGGTGAATGCCTTAAAGTATGGCATCTGCTTGGCTGTATACATACGCAGTCATGTCTTGTCTGAATGGGGAATTTTACATTTCTCTTTTCTCGAATAAATGTGAGCGGTATTTTGATTAACTAGTAACGCTATAAAGTAAAGAATATAGAGCGAAACATTATTGATGAAGTGTGTAATATTAAGTTCTTATAGGAGGGGTTTCAATTTTTTTCAAGAACTAAGTCACCATTTCGGTTCTGCGTGCTATTCATATTCCACACTGCAGTATACTAGAAAGATAACAAATCGTCTAGTTTGATCTGGCATGAGCGTGGGCTGTAACCAAACCGACTCTGTTGTCGTTGGCGACACAACGTATGAAACTGGTAGAGCAGGTGTGTTTCGTGTGTCTCTGTCTTTATTTTTCTGTGCAGTATTTTGTGGACCAGCTCGCTAGTCAGCACTTTTGTGTTGATATGTAATATTATAAATATTGGCATATTTATAAAATATCTATTTACAAAACTTTGAATTGCTTGAAATACTAAGGATTTCCTACCTCAGGAATAATTACCTTAGCTGTGTTTGACAAATCCTTTCGGAATTGTGGGTCATCAATGCCCTTCAACTTCGTACTTGATTTGAACTTTTAACTTGTTAATTCATGTGTCAATGATATGTCTTTTGTAGACATTCCAATCATATCCCCGATATATTTGATTAGATTTTTTTTTGTGTTTCTGTTGTATTGATTTATATGTAATAAATTCGGTTCACCTGACCAAACTAAAGTTTTGTACTTTGTACTTGTATTTTTAACGCATGCTGTTGGACATTCTATTTATGGTTATTTGGAGAAAATGTCCATAAATATATGCTGCAACTCTGAGCAATATTTCAATATCTGTATTGAATGAAGTATACTAAAAACCTCATCGGTTTACTTGGGTATAGAAAATTGGTAGTTCCTAGACTTCTCCTGTCTGCTGGTTAATTACCTCTGCTCAAGTGAGGCATCCTTTTGGCTGTTTGAGATGTATAAATACGCAGACATATCCGGTCGGAATGGGGATGTTACGTCTGATGCTTCGTGTATGCTAAGTGCCATCAACTCTCCACGTTAAAGAACCATTGCAACATTCAGAGAAGTCCGAGGGTGGTCTGTTATAAGGTAAAATTTCTGCCATTTTACAAATTTTCCACCTATATGCGAGTCAAATTATCTACCTCTTGCATTGCTAGTTAATTTGTTCTAGTTTTGAACATGCATGAAATATTTGACACAGGACGTTAAACAAGCTACAATCAATCGTCATTGAAATGGAAGTTTGTATCTTTCTATATTGGAAAAAAGGGAAAAAAATGTTAATTCAGAAAAACATATCCTATAACCGGTAAAAGTCGATAATCTGGTACATCAATATTGTTATTTGATAGCTGAACAAGGAAGAAAATGTGATAAAACATATCTCATAGCTTGTTAAACTTAATAGATCTAGAATTATGTTATTTGATAGCTGAATAAGGAAGCCGTAAATAATATAGAGTATCCTACATTTACTATATCTATTTAGATAGAACAGTCACAATGTTGGTTAAACAACAAAGATTAAAAAAAAATGTTTTTATGTAAGGGCTTATTGATAAGTCTTCTTCATTTTGTCGTAGCAGCTCAGGACAAAAAGGACTATACCTGTTCAATTTCTTTAAATGGCAATGTATTCGATTTGAAGACATTAATGAACATGGTATCTACTATGCAAGGACAGCTAAAAGGAATCGAAGCAGATGTGAAAGGCCGTCAAGGTACTCTGATTAACAGAGGTATTTTTGTATAATTAATGCAAAAAGAATTTCAATTTTAATATGAAGACCTATTTTACAGACATAAGTTTCATATAAAAATTTAATGTATGATAACTCCATCAATATTTCTCTGAAACATTTTGGCTTAAATATAAACAAAGTGGATTAGGGAGTAAATCTCAATGCGAAAGCAAACAAACATCTCGAACACCTCATAATACATCAAGATGTCAACATACCCGCTTCATTAATATTGACAAGTGTGCATACCGTATTACCACACTGTAGACAAGTTACCCTTTATTTTAAACAGATAATTATAGATCTTTGATCAATGTCAAATACCTTCATTAACCTATAACACTTCTAAATATAAAAAGACACCAATAGACAATATATTTTACTTAGGACAGGCACTTTGTCATGTTGAACTTTTTAAACTTGGCCATTTGAAAACAAAAGTGATGAATTTTAACGTCAATCTCACTTTTCCTTTTATTTATAATAATTTAAACTTTGACACACCACTTTCATAAGAGCACTTGTCAATGTATTCCTAGTTTATAGTTACTACTTGCAGATAGCACAGGGAATAAGAAAATAGGTAGGTTTCTTGTGAAATCATTGAAGCCAACGCAAAGTGATGCTCTTGAGATTTTTAAGCAATGTGGTATGATTGGTAATAAGACAACTATCCACCAAAGTTAATTCAAACACCCTTAAGTTCAACAGAAAGGGATTATCTGCTGGTGTTTTGACATAACTTCCAGTTTTGTAATTGTTTTAAGATAAACTAATTCGTGTATATGTTTTAGGTTACATTGGATGCTTTAGAGACCGTAATTCCATGCTTCGATCACGTATAATCAAACATATTTCACAATTAACATTGGAGAAATGTCGAGAGTTGTGCAGAGGATATACATTTTTGGGTTTGCAAGTAAGTAGAAATCGTTATTGATTGGCAAAATTCTGTCAATATAAAGCAACTGTTATTAAGTGCAAGCATATAAAAATAAGAAGATGCGTTATGATTACCAATGAGACAACTACCCACCAAAGACCAAATGACGTGGAAGTAATTAACCATAGTTCACCGTACGGCCTTCAACGATTAGCAAAATCTATACCGTATACGGTTCATTTCTGGGTTTTTTCTGTTTGGGGAAATATGTTTTGATATACGATCTTTTGTAGTCTTTAATTTATTCACTCCTTTTTTAGACTCGGAACGATTAAGAGCTTGACATATTGGATAGACACCAATTTATTGTTGAAGACCGTATGTTTACCTCTAAATGGTTTTTTTTTATAATTCGTTGCGTTAGATTGCTGTCTCATTGACGTATACCACCTATTCTTCCCTTAAATCATATATCTGTAAAAACCTGTGTCGGGTATAATGATGTTATCAATAATTAGTCATTTCAAAGACACAAATACGACTACGAACTAAGGGTGACTTATTTTTAGCTCACCTGGCCCAAAGGGCCAAGTGAGCTTTTCTCATCACTTGGCGACCGTCGTCCGTCGTCGTCCGCCGTCCGTCGTCCGTTAACTTTTACAAAAATTTTCTCCTCTGAAACAACTTGGCCAAATTTAATCAAACTTGGCCACAATCATCATTGGGATATCTAGTTAAAAAAATGTGTCCGGTGACCCGGCGAACCAACCAAGATGGCTGCCATGGCTAAAAATAGCACAAGGGATAAAATTTAGGTTTTGGCTTATATCTCTGAAACCAAAGCATTTAGAGCAAATCTGACATGGGGTGAAATTGTTTATCAGGTCAAGATCTATCTGCCCTGAAATTTTCAGATGAATCGGACAACTCGTTGTTGGGTTGCTGCCCCTGAATTAGTAATTTTAAGGAAATTTTGCCGTTTTTGGTTATTATCTTGAATATTATTATAGATAGAGATAAACTGTAAACAGCAATAATGTTCAGCAAAGTAAGATCTACAAATAAGTCTACTTGACCAAAATAGTCAGTTGACCCCTTAAGGAGTTATTGCCCTTTATAGTCAATTTTTAACCATTTTTCGTAAATTTTTGTAATCTTTTACAAAAATCTTCTCCTCTGAAACTACTAAGACAAATTTAACCAACCTTGTCCACAATCATCATTAGGGTATCTAGTTTAAAAAAGGTGTCCGATGACCCCGCCCGCAAACCAAGATGGCCGACATGGCTAAAAAATAGTACATAGGGTAAAATGCAGTTTTTGGCTCATATCTCTAAAACCAAAGCATTTAGAGCAAATCTGACGATGATAAAATTGTTCATTAGGTCAAGATCTATCTGCCCTGAAATTTTCAGACCAATCAGGCAACACGTTATTGGGTTGCTGCCCCTGAATTGGTAATTTTAAGAAAATTTTGCAGCTTTTGGTTATTATCTTGAATACTATTATAGATAGAGATAAACTGTAAACAGCAATAATGTACAGCAAAGTAAGATCTACAAATAAGTCAACATGACCAAAATTGTCAATTGACCCCTTAAGGAGTTATTGCCCTTTATAGTCAATTTTTTACAATTTTCATAAATTTTGTAAATTTTTGTAAATTTTTACAAAATATTGTCCACTGTAACTACTGGACCAAGTTCATTATAGATAGAGATTATTGTAAACAGCAAGAATGTTCAGTAAAGTAAGATCTACAAACACATCACCATCACCAAAACACAATTTTGTCATGAATCCATCTGTGTCCTTTGTTTAATATGCACATAGACCAAGGTGAGCGACACAGGCTCTTTAGAGCCTCTAGTTAATATTCTTTGATAATTATTATCACATTCAAATTATCACACTGGTTTGTTTAATATGATCGTCATAACAATATTACATGTACACAAAATGTTCAAACCGGTCAACGACCCCCATCTCTAACCTGGTACAGTGGTGTAAAAACACAACGAAAGACAAAACTGTAAAATTCAATTTGAAAGTGTTTGATTCATCAGATCGATACTTAGTTAAAAACAAAAACAAAAAGAAAGACACAAAATTATTGATCTAAGAATACTAACAGCTACTGAAAGTCCAATTCAATCTAATAAATAAACCATGTACTCCCAGTTTAAAATGTAGTTTAAAATGTTTATATCTGTGTTGTCACTTACAGTATAGTAATGAATGTTTCTGTGGGAACACTATCGACTCCGCCAATCATAGACCTGCCCCAGAGAGAGAATGTAACATGAAATGCAGTGGGGAAAACCGAATGTGTGGTGCAGGAGATAGAAATTCAGTTTATAGAGGTAAGGAATGAGAGGTGACAAGTTTAGGAATTGTCCTTAATTGTTTTGTGTTAATATTATGACATTGTGTATTATTTTTGTTACCGTTATTTAATGGTTATGCGCTTTTCTGTATTATTTATAAATGTTAATGACAGATCTCTAATAGTCTCTGCTTAAATTATGCACTGCTTTTCTAGTCATGGGAGATTAATAGCTTCACATATTGTATAGACAACTGTCCATTGTTTTACGTTTACCTTTAAGTATCGTTAGGGTTTTGTGCCGTGGGGTAATCTCGTCTCCTGCAGAAATATTTCACTACAAACATAACTATATTCGTCCCCTTACGGTACTGAGAATATTGTGTCAGGAACTCAGACTATGTCGTTTGTAAATCAGATGCTAAATGATCAGTCTTTGGTTTTCTATGTAGTGTTTCGTAAACTGTTGTTTATCTTTTCGTTGTTGTTCTTTTTTGCCATGGCTTTGTTATTTCTCTATGACTAAATTGTTTTGAATGTCCCTTTAATATATCTCCTCTTTATTTTTCGCGAAGGCCATACACATATGAGACAAAACAAAAAGAAGGATACAAGGCGACGGACAAACAATAAACACGTATTGGAACAAAAACATAACTTATCATAAGCAATGCGACGGGTGTTGCTAGTTGAGCCGGTCCCGCTTTACATTTACAGCTTTCTGTGTCGCGTTATGTTCTATTTTATTTTAAATATCTACATTGTTTCTACCAATAACGTTATTATCTATCTTTTGTCCTGAAAAGGGGCTTTCATATCAGTTTATATATTTGGTTATGTCTCAGATTTGAAAAAGAGACATTTACCAGTCCACTGTTGTATAATCCTTATCACCTGATAAGACTCACAAATTGATCAGGCAGAACAAAATGGGTGTCACTAGTGGGTCATAAACTGCTGACAATTCTGGAGTTTCTGAGTTCACCAAACGTTGTTATGAGTCCTCGGTTTTTTGTTTGGTATTTTATGGACTGTTGTCTAACGTTTAGTGTGTTTTGTTTGGTATTTTATGGCCAGTTGTCTAACGTTTAGTGTGTTTTGTTTTTGTCTATCTTTGCTCGACTCGAGGTTTTTGAGTTCCCCTTGGTATCTTCTTAACTTTTTAATTTACTGCCTGCTTTTCATGCGACACCTATCATATTGTCTAGTGGTTTAAAACTGGAAATACGTCAAATACTTCAATGGCGAAGTATGCTTATAAAACAATGTTAATTCAGTTTGGTAGTTCAGAAATTTAACATTTAAGAATGTTCATTGCGGTATAACAAAAAAAGTTCTCAAAATAAAACTTTCTGCAATCACGTTTCTCGCACAATATATCTGTTATGTTAATCTATGAAAGAACATGTCTTAAGAAAAGTAATCATGCATTGTCAGATAAATCAATCGTCTAAAAATTATACTATACATTTACTTTTCCCCATAGGCATTCATCAATATCTTTTAAATATATAAGGCCTCTTAAATTACCTGCCACAACGCAATTTACCTCTCGTCGACTTCGAAAATATTAAGATTAGGTGGATACCAGGAAGGACAAGTACATTTGAATTTAAATTGATATTTTTATTTTGCAGTGAGGAATATAGAGTGAAAAATATGTGCTGATGCTGTATCGTTTATGAGAAGATTTCTCCAAGAACAAACCATTCAACTTGAATCTCCAAGAGAACTCTATTTGATTTGTTATTTTATTTAACAATATGACTTTTTTCCCTTCTAAATGCAATGAAAATCTTCCCTTTATTCACCTTTTGATTTGTTATACTAGTACTATGTAAAAATATGATGACTGTTTTTCTTAAAAATGCAATAAAAATCATCACTTATTTACCTTGTTGATTTGTTGATTTCTCTAAAGTCATGATTTAGTCCACACTTTTGTCCATCAGTATCTATTATATATTTCAAAAAGAGAAGACTTTGAAAAGAAATTGTGTGCCGCCTCTACTACATACACACTTACTTGACTTATGTAGTTTGATAATGTTGATGTACAGTGAAAAGTGTTATTTTGCAAGTATGCGTGAAACGGTCTGTAATATTGTATTTTGAGGCAAAACGGGAAAAAAACACATTCGGATTTCCAGTCCCTTCTCGGATCAGACTAGAAAAGTGTATGGGTGGTCATTTCCGCTCATCTGCATCCGTATCCAAGGAAATTCTACCAATATAGGCACACCTCCTTATTTGCAATCAATGTTAATCTATCGCCTTATAGTTGTTAAATTGTTAGGCCAAAATTTCGATTCTTAGTTGCATTGGTAATAAATACGATTAGAGTAGTAACGTTAGTGTTTGCTTCTGCCTTGACCTATATATATAATTTTAAACGGATTCTCAGAAATTTCAACAGAAACATTACCCTGGTTAGCTTTTGTTGTATTTTTTTACTCTCGTTTTTATTATTTTTCTCCTAACGTATTTAAACATCTTGTGTCTTTTCGAACTATTCATTAAGGCGAAGCATACGTAATTTAGTGGTACTAGTATCCTGATTTTTACTTTTTTGATTCGAGCGTCACTGATGATTCTTTTGTAGACGAAACACGCGTCTGGTGTACCAAATTTTAATCCTGGTATCTATCATGAGTTTATTTACAACAACTGCTGCTGGAGGGTTCTCCCCAAGGGTATCACCAGCTCAGTAGTCAGCACTTCTGTGTTGACATGCATTATCATTGATATGGTCATAATTGTAAATCAACTGATTATAAAACTTTGAAATTTTTCGAAATACTAAAGATTTTCTACCCCCAGGAATAGATACCCTTAGCTGTATTTGTCAAAACCTTTCGATATTTTGGGTCCCCAATGCTCGTCAACTTTGTACTTTATTTGGTCTTTTTAACTTTTTTGATTCTCGAGTCACTGATGAGTCTTTTGTAGATGAAACGAGCGTCTGGCGTACAACATTTTAATCCTGGTATCTATGATGAGTTTACAAAAATGTATTTATGAAATTTAGTATTATATGTATATAGAAATCGTTAACCTACGAAAATGATACATTTAGGATTTCCTCTTCCAGTATAAAAAAAACAGTTCAAAATTTTGTGAAATGAATGTTAAGAATTGTAAAATTTCGAATAAATTATGAATACGAAATACTTCTGTTCACTAACGTATATTTCTTCCTCAGGCGTTTATTTTGTTTTAAGTTGGATAAAAAAAAAAGGCGCTCTTAACAAAAACAAAACGTTAAATTTCTTACATTGAAATACACAAAAACATTAATCAAGATTAAATAGTTTTATGATGTACACAAGTCGTACATTCAGCTGATAGCAAAGGGTTTATATAAAATATAAAAAAAAAACGATTCACCAACAGTATTTGACAATATAACAGACATTTTGGCATTGCACAAGGTCATGTTTTTCTCTGACTGTTAATGACGTCTTTACACTAAATCCATTGGATGTTGGATGTGTACTGATTGATATTTTAGTCTTAGACACATGATTTTTTTATTAGTTGTTATTTGCTTTGAACTAGCTGTCATAAACTGTACTCTCAGATCTGTACTTAATGTCCTTTTTGTTGTTATGGATTAGGGGTGGATAAATACCCTGCCACGTCCGGTCTGTGTTTATGGTTGATGTTTTTTCTGCTTTGTATCAATCTGATGAGTTAAGCTTTTTTCAACTGATTTTTATAGTTTGTTCTTCAAGTATGTTGTGCTGTTACACCACTGTCCCAGGATTAGGGTGGGGGGGCTGAGCGCTCACAAATATGTTTAACCCCGCCACATTCTTTATGTGCTTGTCCCAAGTCAGGAGCATGTAGTTCAGTCGCTGTCGTTGGTTCATGTCTGTCATATTTGTTTTTTGTTTATTGTTTTGTTATAAATTAGGCCGTTTGTTTTCTCAATTGAATTGTTTCATATTTTCATGTCGGGGCCTTTTATAGCCAACTTTACTGTATGGGGTTTTCTCATTGTTGAAGGCCGTACGGTTGCCTATAATTGATTACATCCACTTTAATTGAATTTTGGTGGACAGTTGTCTCATTGGCAATCATACCTCATCTCCTTTTTTTATACTGATCAGCACCCGACTCAGATGACCTGTCTTGGTACAGACACAGAATGTGATGGAGTAAAACCAGTTTAATGTGTGTACAAAACTCCCTTTTTTCCTATCTAGAACACGTGTATACCTCGATATGTGAATTTCTGTATTCTGTTAATTCATATGAATATATCGTTGAACATAATAGTCATTCAAAGCACACCGCAGGAAGGTATGAATTTGGCCAGAAGATCAAATTGGTAGGGCCAAGTTTCCCTGCAGTTATTTTACAGTGGTGTCATTTTAAAACGTCTTTCAATCTTTACTTAAATTAACATTATTAGTTGTCTCATTGGCAATCATACCTCATCTCCTTTTTTATACTGATCAGCACCCGACTCAGATGACCGGTCTTGGTACAGGCACAGAATGCGATGGAGTAAAACCAGTTTAATGTGTGTACAAAACTCCCTTTTTCCCTATCTAGAACACGTGTATACCTCGATATGTGAATTTCTGTATTCTGTTATTTCATATGAATATATCGTTGAACATAATAGTCATTCAAAGCACAACGCAGGAAGGTATGAATTTGGCCAGAAGATCAAATTGGTAGGGCCAAGTTTCCCTGAATTTATTTTACAGTGGTGTCATTTTTAAAACGTCTTTCAATCTTTACTTAAATTAACATTATCCCAGATGATTTGGGGTTCTACAAAAACAATGTTAATATCTTTAATATCTGAATAAATAAATAATTAACGCTTAAAACTGGTGCAAAACATATTTTGCAAATTTTGAGTATTTAAACAAAAAGGACATTCTTACTAAAAAAAATTGTTTGGAAGCAAAGCTATATATTGTCATTCGCGTAAAAGTTAATTCAATTTGGTTAGAGAATGTTTTCGATGCAAAATTTACAATAACATGAAACTTAAATGCCTTCAAATCAACATTTTGCGTTGAATAACATTTTGAATTTATGGAAACCTGTTTAGGTGTGAAATGTAGACTCTTTCATATTCAATTCCCAATAGGATTTAAACACTTTTACATTTCGACCCAGGCAAGGAAACAAATACAGGGGATATTGGCCCTACTTTAAATAGAAAGATTAAACGTCGAATCTATGTTCTTCAATAAAACATTGCTTTTTTATCAAACATATGTTCTTATCCATTTATTATCCAGATATATCATGAAGATTAACAATTAAAATAGTGGAACAAAAACTTAATCGTTTACAACATAGGTATAGATTATCAGGTTTTCTGCTCAATGATATCGTAAAATATCAGACGCGAGCCATGATGCGAACCCTTATGCATGGTGAGTGAGCGCACCGAACTAGCAGAAAAAACGACATGTTCATCGTGTTATTTCTAGTCTCCCTCAAAAACTTCTTACACATTTTGACGTCGTTAATAACTTCTCACACATTATGACGTCGCTAATAAGTTTTGTTCATATCTCAAACCGTGATACGAGAATTACGGCGCGACAGGGCAGGGTAATATAGTCACACGGAGGTACAATAAATAAAACTATATGCCAACATCCTTGTGAAATCAAAATCATATTCATATTGTGTATTAATCCAATTTTCGGAGAACTTTCACGGTCATATAGACGCCAATATTATTAGTTACACAGTGTGCATTGACCCGATAAATTCCGTATTAGAACAATTAATTGCTCACTGTGTAATGAATTTATCCTGATTTTTTTATCACACCACTTATTGTTTTGTGTTTTTTTTTAAATAGTATTAAACAGTAATTAAAATATCTAAAATTATTAGGACAATATCAACCAAATATATTTAGATATTTAAATTAAAACTGTGAAAATTGAAATATAAAAGGACATTTTTTTATTAAATCAATAGTATAAGGGAGATAATTCGAATTGACTTAATAAAAAAATTGCACTGAAATTTATTAGGACAATATCAGCCAATCAAATTGCGAGAAATTACTCTAAATCAGGATAAAAACCTTTCCCTTTGCCAGCGTAGACCACATACTCTGAAATGTGTCAAATTCAAACTCGACCATATTTCAGTGGTTCTTAAGAAACAGTTACACCGACATACATGTAGCTAGATAATACAATTAATTATCTAATTACTTCCACAATTTTATATTAATTAGTATTGTAATTTTCATTGTTATTAATAAATGTTATATGAGTATTACAAATCTAATCTTGAATTCTATCCTAATTCTTTCCTATTTTGGGGAAATTTTTAGAAATTCAAATGTGACGTCACTTTGTGCGTTGATCTCTTTGGCTAACTCGGCTGTGAATTTTTATGTGCTGGTTTATGTTGTTTTATGTGTCCGTTTTTATTCTGTAGTTAGTCACCACTTCGGTGTTATCATGTATATCTATTATATAGTCATTTTTATAAATTTACTGTTTGCAAAAGTATGAATTATTCTAAATAATAAGGATGTTCTTATCCCAGACAGAAAACCTTAGCCGTATTAGGCACAACTTTTTGGAACTTTTGGTTCTCAATGCTCTTCAACTTTGTACTTGTTTTGGCTTTCGAACTTTTTTGATCTGAGCGTTACTGGTTAGTCTTGTGTGGACGAAACGCGCGTCTTTCGTATTAAATTTTAAACCTGGTACCTTTTGTTAGCTATTATTCGTATGTTTCTCTGTCCTGTATGTTCTCCCATTTATTTGTATTGTAGTCCTGTCATATAATGCTGTCATTTCAATGTTATATTTAACATTGCCATAAAAGCGGGAAGTTTGGCTAACCACAAAACCAGGTTCAACCCACCATTTTTTTCTTAAAATGTCCT